GCAATCCCATTTATCAAGTTCTGTCAAGATCTGTCTCTCTCAACCTATTGTTCCATTTTCGTGTTCATATAAGGCACATATGAAGATTATGAGGTTAGTATATTATCAACATTATGTAAGTGATACTTTTGTCTGTCTTTTCTTTTTATCTTCACCCTACTTGCCACTAATGACTGAGTTTCAATTTGTATTAAACAATGTATTGTAAAAAATAAAACAGCAATCAGGTTTTTATTATACAACCTAACAACTCATCATGCCAGTTTTGAGAGCTTGAGGTGAGATACTTTAAGTATTCATAGCACATGTACTGTACATTGCTGCAGCCAATGAGGCGTGGCCGGGAGAGTTTTGGACATGTTCATTTCTTTTCCTTACTTTGCACAAAAGTGGCAAATCCTTTTTCTGGCAGCTCTTTATTTATTTTACTTACTTCAGATGCTTCCTGCCATGTTTTTGATTATCCAATCTCTGATCATACAAGTACCCTCACACGTAATCTAGTGGGGTTGGCATAGCAGGAGGGGATAGGGCCAACTTACTTTTTTCTGGTGGCGATGCTTAGCTATAAACACATTCTCTCAGTAACTTATTTTGTTGTTTTTGTTGTTGTTGTTGCTCTCTTGCCCTCTTCACTAAGTGGGACAAGAGAGGGAACAACAACTTTTGCCAGAAATCCTGTTATGAATTTCTTCTTTTCATATATGTTCCAGGTTTTCCCTTATTATGTATGAGTTAATCAGAAAAACACACTTTCATTAGCAATGGAAATCATAACTGATTCATAAACTGGAATTTAAAATAAGGCTGCATATTTACTTAAAAGTCAGCCTCATTAGAATCAAAAGGATGTAATTTCAAAGAAAATATTTTGAGATGAGAACATTAATATGAAATACAAAGTTATTTCTTTTGGAGAAATCCATCATGAGACACAAAGCATGCTCTCTCAGTATAGTGTCACGATCTGGTATTAGAACATAGAAGTAATTCAAAATCTGTCCATTGTATCATTAATTTAAAATCTGGTCTGGATATATTTACCATAAGTCTTTAGTTGTCTTGAATCAAGGGCCATACATATCTTAACAAATAATTTCTCTTTGGAAATATCTGTAATTGAAACAATGCTTCTGCATAATCTATTAGCTTGTTTTGTTTAAATAAAGATACATTAATTTAATATTGGTTGTAAAGAAAAAAATATATGAGCCAAATTAATCTGATAATTTATTTGCAATAAATATGCAACACAATCAACACAGTTCCTCTCAATGTCCAGCCACAGTCATTGCGAGTAACGATGACAGGTAAGTGATCAATCGTGAACAGTATTGTCCTCTGCCCATAATTCAAATGTTTATATCGTAATGGAAATGGAACCTTAAATTATGGCTGGGTGGCTGATTGGAAGTTACTGTACCTGTTTTCAAAAAATGTTGTAAGTAAAAATTGATGGAATTTTGAAAATGGAAAACTATTGTATGGGAGTCTGTAGCACTGAAAGAGCTCATTGGAATAGGGCCATAAACTGCATTTATTTGAGTCAATTTTGCATTAATCAGTGTGTGTTGAAGATTACGTTCTCTCTTTTTATATTTAGTGGTTCATATATTATCAGAAGTGCCTTTAAGTGTTTTGAAGAAACACATTAAAATACACTGTAGTGCCTTGGCAGCTGACAATTTTAAAGTATAACAGGTACAACTTGCCTTTGAAATCTGAGTTATCTGAAGGATTGCATTATTATTTTAATTTTTTTTTTTTAAAAAAAAATCAGGAACCAAGGAATTCATTACACTCTAAAATGATAATAACTCTTTTCAGCAAATTCACTAATAAAAATAGGATCTGAACAATGTCATATAAGCCACATTTATGTTCAAAAAGTAAGCAATAGAAGTTTGTTATGTTTGGGATAATATGTAAAAAATGGCAAAGACTGAAAAGATGTGAAACATGTATAAAGCTATATCCATTCTCTAAAGCACATATTTTCCTTGGTAACTCAACAAAATAAATCTAACATATCAGAAAACTGAATATACTCAAACAGTCATAGATCTCCAGTTTTGTCTACAGCATTTTATACAAGAAGAAAAGCTGTTCCCAGATCACAGTAGTAAGAAAAATCTGTAATTTATGTTATTTAAAAGCAGGTACATTACTCTGCTATTGTTGAACCTATTTATAAAGATGATTCCCATTTCTCTTCTATCTCCAGGTTGTTTAATGCAATATTATTAGCAATTTAGAGACTGGGCTTAAACAACTTTCAGCCTAATTCTTCAATTTCCACAAAGATTCAAGATATTAGTGCAAGTAACTCCTACTTAGAGGAATATTAATTACACTTTCACAAATAAGGGCATGGATAAGGAAAATCTCATCTGCAATTCAACTGTAGCAGGACAGTGTTTGTGGGGTTTTCCACCCATTCCCCCTTCCCCCTTCCCAGGAGAATTAAATCTATGATTCTGGCCAGTGTAACACTTCCTTGGACAGATCACTTCTGCCATTTGGGGGTCCTCTTGGACTTGCAGTTTTTGATGAAAAAGTAGGTGGCAGCTACGGCCAAGGGAGCCTTCACATAAATCCAGCCTGTGCACCAATTTCTGGACCACATGGTTTTGTTCACAGTCACTCCTGGCTTTGGTCCCCTCCTACTTTAACTACTGCAATGTGCTGTACATGGGACTGCTCTCGAACACCATCCAGAAGCTGTATCTAGTTCAGAATACAGCAGTCCACAGTTTTGTGCGCCCTGTGGTTTACCCAAATAACATCACTGCTGCATGAATTGCATTGGCTCCCAGTTGCTTTTTTGTGCATTTCAAGGTGCTGATTCAAGGTGATAATCATGGGTGTCAAACTTGCGATGTGATGTGACATGTTGTGACTGTATCACAACTTTTTTTCCCATTGCTGGCAATGGGATGGCCATGGTTTTGGCATGACGCATCCAGCCCATGGGCCAGCAGTTTGACACCCCTGCCCTAAAGGCACAGAGCCAGGTTACTTGCAGGATCGCCTCTTCCCAAGGGTATCTGCCCAACCTGTTAGGTTAGATAAGGGGGTGTTGCCACCCTTTGGAATAGCCTCTCATTTGAGATCTGACCCTTTTAGCCTTCTGGAGATCTATGAACACTCTTTCCCCAAGTGTTGGGCTAGGATGGAAGATGAACTGGGGTGTTATTTGGCACTTGGGAGAAAGGTTACCTCTGTTTTTAGCTATGTTTTAGTAGATTGTTGTGAGCTGCCTAGAATCATTATTGAAGTAGGCAGCCATATAAACACTGTAAGTAAATACTCAGAGATATTTCTGGTGCTCATTCTGCTACTACTGTTAGCACTAGTCTTGTCAAGATTGCCAATAATATTAAATCAAGAGTGTATGATTGCCTCATCTCAGTATTATTTGTTTAGTTATGTTTTTGGATGTTATAATTGATTTTTCTTTCTTATTTCATCTAAGCAGGTTTTCTTCACTTAAGGTTTTATGCCCCATGGATCATGTCCTAGAGTTTCCCGTCTTTATTCAGGCAAAATGCCCATCAGGACTTCAAGACAGATTTTGCCAAAACATAGTCTGAACAAGAAGTTACATTCACTGATGAAATTATCTTTGATCTTGCCTGAAACAATCACTGATAGATCATAATTTGGAGGAAACCAAAAGCAAAAATTGCTTCATAAGTATGTTTGTTCTACACCAAATGGATTTTTACATCATGAATACAGAGCAAAAAATATGGCACGTGTAATATATTAGGACAAGGCAGTAGGTAAACACGGTCAGTCTGGGAATAGGTTTGTGTGAACAAATGAGTATTTATTTCAGACCTAGACCACACAAATTCATGCCAGTGACAATTCTGTGTAAGTGCATTACTATAATTCATTGCATGAAGTCAAAGTTATCAGTATTTAGCTAGGCTCTTGACCCACACAAATAGTATGAAAATAAAGTGTATTTTTTTTAAAAAAAATACACATGTCTATGGATGTACATTGCCAAAGCACTTTTCACCCAACTTTGGACTGGCACAAAACAATGTCAGCATCAAGTTTTCTGTTCCTGTTGCCAGTCCTTTTCACACTTCTTCCTCTGTTCCAAAACCTTGCTGAATGGCATCTTGACTGTGAGGTGCCAGTCATTAAAAGAACATTGATTTTCTATATCAGCAATGCAGGGACAAATGATACCACCTGCATAATTATGTAATCATAAAAATGTCACAACTCATGTACTTTTATTAGACATTCCAGTACTAATGAGTGCAATTACATCCTGATGCAAATATGTAATATTAGCCTTTGTATAATTACATCATGATTGCTTATTATTTTGGCATCAGTGATTTGCCATGGCCACGCTAGTCTTCTCCTTTGCTTAATGGTTTCAATACATCGTCAGCCAGTGAAGGAAAGATCAATCAATGAAGGACCTGAAGTATGAGTGGGTAGAATCCAACTGCAAGATTTTCTTGGCTGATTTGTCCGCCCTTCCTTCCATGTCTACTTGGGCATCTCTCAAGCAATAATTACGGGACATATAAAATAAAGAAAAATATGGAAAAACACTGAAACAAAAATAGTCTGAGAGAAGGAAAACAGCTTCTGGCATGATTGTGTAGGCAATTAGATCCTGCAAAGAATGATAATTGAAACTCATCAGCAGCTTGGCCACCACATTTCTTTCTCCAGGGGAAGGAGAGTGATCAAAACCTATGGAGATTGGCAAATCTCAATATTCTCTATTATTTTACAGGCACTGCAATGAAGATAGGTGGAGTTACTATATCAAAGTTTTTTTTTTAAAAAAAGGTAAAGATAAATATTTTCATGAATAACATTTAGAACACTCTTAAATTTGAATTTTGTAAATACCCTTTTTATTCTTCCCAAACACAATAGTAGATATCTTTTTTTCTTTCCTCTATTTGATGGCTTGGAGAATTGGGATCTAAAAGAGACAGAGGACAAGTGACTACAGGAATAAGGGGTTGGTGTAGCTCACAGAGACTGGGGATGCAAGAGCATGGCTACTAAAAGTGGAGTTAGGGCCAGAGAAATAAATAGGCAGATGATATCAGTTTATTTGCAACTTTACATGGAAATAAGATTTTAATTCCTAGTTTTTCTGCAGAGAAATCCTAATGGGTAGAAGTGGGCAGATAATGATGAAGGAAGTCTGGCATCCACATCCCCTTCTTGCTCTGACAGAAGAAAACATAGGAAGGTTTCAGATGGAACATGATAACATCGACATGCTCCTCTCTCCACATAGGTAAAATAATAAAATTCTGCAAAATAAATAAGTAAGTAAATAAACCTGATGTTTTCTAGTTTATTCTCAGGTGTTTTGCAAAATAGAATTGTAACTAAATGAGCTCAGAGCTATATAAAATTTAAGTGTGTGCACACACATAGACAAACAAACCATGTCTGCTTAATTTTCTCAGCTTTCTATTCTCCGGGATTCTTTTTTCTTAATTTATTGCTACTCTGTTTTCACAACTAATATCCTTCTCATGCTCCAGATATTTCTATTTTCAATTCTGGTCCATGGTTCTAATCAAACCCTTCTTAACTTTAAACATTGAATTATGAATGTTAAATATATTTAGCAAAAAAATGCTTGATTTACATAATTTATTCTGATCACATAATTGAGCCCTAGTAGCATGGAATTCACCTGACCCATAGTTCTAAAATGTGTTCTCTGTTGCACTAAGACGTAGTGAAGTGTCCCTGCCATTCTCTCTTTCAAAAAACAACTGCAGAATTTAAGCTGCCAAATGTTAAACATTTGGTTTTGTGCAATTGATTACTAATTTCAGCAGGAGTGTTGGCAACCACAATAGAATGGAATAAAAAGAAGCAGACTGTCTAAAGAAAAACATGAAAATCAATTTTATGGAATTCTCAGAGCAGCTCTGTTTTGGCTTTCATTCTAGGTCTGATCTATACACAGGAAAAATGTGGCTATTTCTATCTACATTAATACTCTGTGTGTGTGTGTGTTTGTGTAAGTGTGTGTGTGTGTGTAAAAATAAGAACATTGCAATTTATAGTACAATGTTACATGAATAGCAACTTACCGTGAGTTATAAAATAATGTATAAGAGTGTCCAAAAAAAGGAGAGGTTGCCAGACATCTTTTTCTGTTCAATGCTCCATTCCCAAGGTATAATTGAGGCAGGGGTTACTTCATAAGCTACTGGTGGAGAGGGAGCAGCAAGTGCTGTGCAAAGCTGGTTTTCTGAACCTCCTTCTTTCCCTGACATACTTTTCCCATCTCTCTTCTGACTTTCTTTTTATTTTTCTTTCTACATATCCAAAACCAATGAAGAAAAGATACTGAGCTTTTTCCAGAGACTGGAGTTTTGAGTCATTAGTTTTTTTGACATTAAGCCAAAGACCACATGAAATCAAGATCCCCCACTTTTCTCACCCCATACATTTCTCCCCCATCTATCTCACTAGATCTCTTCAGGCTTTGACCTGCTCCCAACCCAGCCATTCAGCCACCAAAGGTAAAGCAGCAGAAGTTACCGGCATGTGCAGGACTAATACAGTTTGCAGGCCAAGGCCTACTTCCCATCCAGCCACCCAAGGAAGCCTAAAGCTACCCAGGTTTGTAATTGTGACACAATGCAATGTGATGTGATGCGAGGCTCATCTGTCTTACAGAGGTTGCTTCATGACAACCTGTAAGGGGTTCCCTTTTTAAGGAGGCTCCAGAATAACAAGTGGTGCCACAAGGAAGCCTCTGTAGGAAAATTAGGCTTTACTAGGTATCAGCTGGGCACCTCCCTGAAAAACAAAAACAAAACAAAAAAAACCCAGAAAGGTAAGTTGGGTGCTGCTACATCCTGGAGCTGGCTAAGGAACCTGCGAGTCCCTGGCTGGTTTCTTCTGCCTTGGGAGGCTGAGTGTCTGGGGTGGGGGTGGGGGGTAGTAGGCTAAGGCCTTAGATATCTGTGGGAAGGGGAAAAAAACAAGCATTAAGGCTTCTGGGGACCTGGAGGGGCAGGAGGCAGAGCACAAGTTGTCTCAAGAGTTGTGGAAGGCCTAAGGCAGATGGGCCTGGGTCTGCTGTAGGCCTCCCAGGACTAACCCTGAGGCACCCTGTTGTCCATTTAACAACTACACTGTCATTTAATGATTGCATCAGGAAAAGCAAGGCAGGGGGTTATTAAGTAAGTTGATCTCGCTTAATGACCATCACAATTTGCCACCTCAATGGGCAGGGTCCATTAGGGTCATAACTTGAAGACTGCCTACATTTTATTCTAAGCTGCTCAGAGTCACTTACATGAGACAGGCAGCTGTATAATCAAATAAATAAATAGTCCTGCTTTGGTTTGCTTTGGCTAGACAAATAACCTGTCATCTAAAGGAAGCCAAATAAAATACTTTGTTTGTTTCACATCCCAGGCCTAGATCATCCTAAATTAGTGGTTCCCCTTCTATTAAAGCTTCAGCAGGTGACAGCGCATTGCTGACCTTGTCAGGGCTTAGAAGCTAAGCAGGCTCTGGCTTGGTTAGTATTTGGCAGGAGACCGCTATGAAATACTATCTCAACTGAAGGCTAAACTAGAAATCAAAAACATATTTCAAACTGTGGCCAATTAATGTGTCGGTGAAGTCAGTAGGTGGAGTTAATAACAAAGGACACATACTTAACTTTTATTAATTTTCAGGAGCTTGAAATAGATATAAGGAAAAGCCTGAAAAATAGCAGCCAATGCATTTTTTTTCTGTTATGAGCATTAACAATCAGGAGGGTGACAGTAGATGAAGCAGTGTAGGAGGAGAAGCCAAGAAGCCACTGGGAAAGAAAGACAGGTGACTCAATAAGATGGATGAAAGGATGATCCCTAAATTCTGCAGTTTGGGGACGTGTTTCTATAATATAAAGAATGGAAAGTAAGTATATATACTTTCTCTCCCCAAAATTACGTAGAGAAACATTCAGAAGAAAAAGGATTCTACTTAGGATTAAGCCATCGAAGGGAAGTGACCAACAAGTGAGTTCAAGAGGAATTTTGATTCTATATCCAAATTCTCAGGAACATTCATAGAAATGATTTTCTTTTCTTTTTTCTTTTACAGAGCCAAACAGTATACAGTGTTTGAGTTACTTAAGGCTCCCAGCGACTTCCAATTGACCGTTAAGCCAATGCTGAAACATTGACATTCAGTTCAAAAATCATTCCCAAATAGCTATTTGTGTGCAATTTCTGAACACATGAATTCATCATATCTCTCTGTTACATATTTTGTTATTAAAACAAAAGAGAAACTGGAAAATTAAACAATTAAACTTGGTATATACCAGTGATGGTGCACATTTTAGAGACCGAGTGTCCAAACTGCAACCCAAAACCTACTTATCTATTGTCGGGTGCTGGGTGGGTGTGGCCCATTGGGTGGGCATGGCCTATTGGGTGGGCGTGGCTGCAGTGGTAACGGCAGACTGGGTGGGACTAAAAAGTTCAATCAATCAATTCCAACTTTGCAAGATTATTTTTTCCCGCAAGAAGTTGAAATTGATTGATTGGTTGAACCTTTTTTTCTTTTGCACACGGCGGTGGAGGCCTAAAATGAAAAGGTTTTATAAAACCCAGCTAAAGGCCTAGGACTGGGCACACGTGCCCACAGAAGGGCTCTGAGTGCCGCCTCTGGCACGCGTGCCATAGGTTTGCCACCACGGGTATATACGGTCCAAATCTTCAGAGTTCCTCAACTGAGATTAATGCTAAGATTTCTAACAAGTTTTTTGATTCTGCCTTGATTAACTTTATTTCTCTAGCAACCTAACTGCTTTTCTAACACTTCTCTGTTTATGGCTAGCTTGAAAGGAATAAGAGTATAAAAATGTCAACAACAGTTGGAATTAATTTCTATTCCACATCTGGTACTAGTTAAACTTATGTATAGCAGAATCATTTTATTTTCTAAAGAATCAAATTAAGCATATCTAATTAAAAATCCATTTGTTAGTGATTCTAGCAACCAAGAGAAATACTTTAAAAATGTTGATGATAATTTTAAAGTAACAAGTTCTCAAGAATCACAAGAAGAAAAAATAGTAGGCTCTAATCTGCTTCTTCCCATCAATATTCCAAAACTTGAGTTACACAGGTAAAAAAGACCCTGATATTGAGTGACATTTTCTCCATCTATTATATTTCTGTTAACAGAGAGAAAAGAAATTGGACCTCAAAAAATGGAACAACTTTATTAAATAGGCTAATGCAGAAAAAGGAGAATCTTGAAATATTTGTATTTCTATCATACTTTAAAAATAAGTAAATGAAAGAAATTAAATAATGCCAATTCTGCTCTTCTGTTGAAATTGTCTGTTTTATTTTAGCTGTTCTGGAAATTCTATTATGTTTCATTTCAGTTCTTTGAATGGCAATTTGTTCCTATTTTTCTATGCTACTTGATCTTTTCCTTATGTATTTTCTGATTATGATTAGTATACACACAGAGAGAGAACAATGAATTCTCTGATTTAGAAGTGTGAACTCAGGTTTAAAGAAGAAGTTCATACGTTTATTTATTTATTGTTTTAAATCTGGAAAAAAATCTTGCATTTGTATTTTTATAAGTTCTGAATGGTTGAACAATAACAATTATTATCAATTTCATGTGCAATATAAATTAGGCTGTTGGTTCTTACCAAATAGTACTAACGGTTTCCTTTCCTTTCCTGAATTTTAAGAATAACATTAGAATAACTTTCACTGGGAGCTTTTTTATTGGAAAACAATGTCGCTGACAGAGATAAAGTGCACTGTTGGGATCCACACAGCCCATTCTGGGTTTCATGGCTGAGTGATTTAATGTTTGTAGCAAAGTGTCCAAAACCTGGTTATTTTCCTTGCCAATTTGCTGGAAAGGACAATCGGGGAAAGCAAATAATTCTATTAACTGATCCTTAGTCAGATCTGTTTATTTATATTTTAAGTCTCAGCTTTATTGCAGATTTTTTTTTAAAAAAAAAAAGTTTAAATGTACTTGTTGAAGAAGTATGAAACTGCTGTAGGATTGCACAGTATAGAACTTTTATGAAGGTAAATCTGTTCTACCAGAATTTTTTAATTTCTATTCTGGGTCATGTTGTGCACTGTTTTGTGAAATGTGAAGTTAGAGAGTAACATATTGGGATCCTGGAATGGATAACAACTTTGGCCTTCAACTCACAAACCACCAATGCATAGATCAGTATTTTTCAGCCTCGCCAACTTTAAGAAGTCTGAACTTCAACTTCCAGAATTCCGTAGCCAGCACACTAAAATCCACAAATTTGCTGAGGCTGAGAAGTATTGACATAGACTGCTGTACCCTCAAATACAGTACAGCTGTATTTTTCAATTTTTCCCCCATTACAAAAACATTGTATCCCTTCAACATATATCCCCTAAAACAGATAGACATATCCATGTACATACGTATATTTCTCAATGCTGTTACTGCAGTGATGACGTGACAATTGTGTTCTGGCTTGAAGTGGGTTGCATTGAATACTGTTAGCAATTCAATTTAAGAAAAAAAGGAGGGTGAGAATAAGAGAATGAATGAGAACAAGAAAGGATATAGAAGCAATAAAAGACCAATTTAGAAGTTTGCCCATCACACTGTGCATCCGGAGTTCTGCAAATTACACTACCAACTTGCTCATTAAATGCAAAAAAGATCAGTTCCAGATTTTTTGGGAAGGGGGAAATCTTTGTGTCCATATATAACAATATCAAAAAAGAGTAGTAGGTTTAGTAGATTTAATATTATTATTTTAAGGGTTAATCTCCTTAAGTCTATGTTTATGTTGCTTATGTATGTGTGCAGTATAGTATTCTAGTTGTAAAAAGGCTGCCATGTCTGTCATGAAGTGAGTGATCCTGAATTCACAAAAAAGAAGTAAAATGTGAAATGAAAATGCCAAGACCAACAATGAATACTTTATTCCAGGGGTCTTCAAACTTGGCCCTTTTATGACTTGTGGACTTCAAATCTCAGAATTCCTCAGCCAGGCACGCTGGCTGAGAAATTCTGGGAGTTGAAGTCCACAAGTCATAAAAGAGCCAAATTTGAAGACCCCTGCTTTATTCTTTTGGGTTGGATTCAGTGGTGATTCATATATGTGAACAACCAGTTCTCTGTGTGATTGCCGCTTCCAGAAGTCCTTTCTGGGCAACAAAAAATTGGCTACTGGTTCTGCCGAAGTTTCCAACCACTGGTTGGGTTAGAACTCCAACTTCCAGAATTCCCACCCAACAGTGGTTAATATCCTGCTGCTAAACATTTGAGGAGTTGTTCTTTCAATGAATTTACTGGACATCAGGTTGGGAAAGCTATTTTGGCTATCTTGTATTTATAGTCCTCAGCAGACATGCAAATAACAAAGCTCAGAGAATACAAGGACTCCAAAGCTATCATTTAAGACACTTTAAACACTTGTCCTAATCTAATTTTCTGTTGATTGCTGTAAACAGATTCTGCTCAGAACTGAAATAAAAAACACATCTGGAACCAAAACTGAGATTTGCTGAATTAGAGTGTTATGTTCCTTGGCAGCAGTCTTCTCTACAAAGTGGCAGGATGGTATATCAAGCTAGGGACAGAATATGATACCAAAGCACCATCTCAAGATTCCAGAGTTTAATATCTTTATAATAGAACACTTTTTAAAATAAAAAATTGCCAA